GTGTGTGTGTGTGTGTGTGTGTGTGTGTGTGTGTGTGTGTGTGTGTGGGGTTCACAGGTGACCACTAAGTCAGTGGCGCAGTGTGTGGAGTTTTACTACACGTACAAGAAGCATGTGAAGATGGGCCGCAACGGGATGCTGATTTACGGCGAGGTGGAGCCGCTTGAGAGCAAGACCACCGAGGAGGAGACGGACCACAAGGTCAGTGTTGTTGCCATGTTTAGTATCTGTGCTGCAGATACAGATGTGTGTTGCTAACCCTAACCTTAAAATATAGATTTGAAATGATTTTGTTTCTGAGAACAGTATCCAAGCTTTCGCCAAAAGTGCTTCTGGAGCATTTTGTCAAGTAGACAAATGGACCGATCTGAATGACTGTAGGCGGATCTGATTAAACACGAAACAGCAGAGTTTTATTTAGATGTGAAACTAAAAACCAAACTCAGAAATAACACCGCTCAGAATATCTTCATTGACCACCGGAGTCTTAAAATGAGCTGTGTTAGCGGCTGCAGCGCTCTCCGGCTACGCCACCATATTGTCCTCGGCGTTGATAGTAGATGCAGAGAATTATTTCATCCACGGAAACATTACAGGTACAGTTATGGTGGTTGTTATAGTGACTGTGCAAAGTCAGTGTTGACTGCATTTCACATAGAAATACCTTAGAGCTAATGTTAAAGAGATTTGATCGTTATATTCTGTATAAAACTCAGCACAGAGCTTTCTACACGAGCAGCTAGCTGTATGGTTCTCTCCTTGTGTCTTACACTCTTCTTCTTTGGGCCAGCAGGGCTATCGCAGATCGGAGCCACTGAAGGAGGAGGACAGCAGGAAGTGGGAGGGGTCAGCTGACAGGAAGCAGGAAGTCGGCCCCCCCGGGGCGACTCACACGCTGCAGTCCGCTGACAATGTGAGTGTGAACTGCATTATCAGCTCCGCATGGGGAACGGAAGGGAAATAACCTCAGTAGATCGGGGGAGGAATGGTCATCCCACATGAGGAGTGTGTCTTTGCACTCAAAGATGACATGGGAAAATGTTGAAGGATATGATTTCATTACTGTACATCATAACACCAGTGGTTTGTAATTTCCAACATTAACTGTTCCCGTGCCAGGTATTTGATCAAAGATTACAGAAGAAGTAGAAAAAAAACAATATAGTGAAAACATAAATATACATGCACAATAGAGTATTAAGTGGAACTGACACTAGTGCAAAATAAGTAAATATAGTAAATGAAATTCAACTAAAATAGAAAAAGTAAATTACTACACTCTCTGTAGGAGCCAGTTCAGTGTTTAAAAGATATCTAATGTTGTGAATACCTCACTGTGAGTATAATAAGAGATGGAATAATAATGGTATTGAAAAATATAAGCATGCAAAATCATGAAGTAGGTCAGTACTCCAGAGGGATTACTGTCATTGTTGTATGTGTTAATTAATACTGTGGTGATTATATTCTAATTACCAATACTGTGTTCGGTCAAAAAGTGTACTTTCTCAAAGCCATGAAAGTACTTTGATCACAGGAGTGATCAGTCTTTTTATTTATTTTGTTTTCACACCTACATTTACTCAGATATACATGACTTTAAGGTAAACAAAAGCCTGTGCAGGGGAGGTATGAAGCTAAAGGCTAACGCAGTAATCCTCCGGGTGTTACAGCTTAAAATCCTCACTTGAACTCACCAGGCTTCGACACACAATCTCACCTTGTGAACTCTTCCCGTCTTGTCCCCGGCGGCTGGGAGTTTGATTTGCTGCCCCCTGCTGGATACTTTAGAGGAGATAACTTGGCTGACGTCCACCTTCCTGGATTGTGTAACCCCATTATGTCTGTCAGCGAACAATGACTCGACGAGAAACCTTTATCCTCGTTAAATGCATTGCATTTTGCCCTTTAGCACACATAATAGGTTGCTTATAAAGGCTATGTGTACTTTTGTTTCCTTAAACTGTGTGTGTGTGCGTGTTAACTGCCACATGTCTGCATGCCATTGTAACAGTATCCTACATAAAAGGTGCTCATAAAGTAGCTTTGGGCTCACGATTTTCTTTGCTAATCGCTCTCAGCGACCGTTTCTCTCATGTTTAAACTACACCTCTCACTTTTTATTGTGCGTGCAGCCGGGGACCGTCCTGATCATGAAAGGCCAGGAGGACGTTGGGAGGGACCAGCTGCTGTCCCGGGTCATCCACCCCCCTCCGCCACCCCCGCCCAGCTCCAAATCCCGCTACGACGGCAACGCACGCAAGACCGGCCCGTCGACGGTCAACAAAGGCTCAGCTGGTCAGGAGGGAGAGTTTCCCTGCAAGAAATGTGGCAGGTCAGTGATCAGAAATATCCCATCAGTCACCGCTGTTGTATAGGAGACGTTGGCACGGCTCTGTTTACTTATACAAAGCTCACGGCAGCAGCTACACAAGTGGCCTTAGACTGAACTGGCTGGACATGAAATACAACATTTCTGCAGCTATTGCCCACTTGGATTTTGTATCGGCAAACAGAGGCAAGTGTCTCATGGTGTTTGAAAGAATCAAACCGTCCTGTCATGCCTTTGATTAAGTAACAGCGCGGCCTGTTATTGCCAACTGTGTCCTAGCAACTGAAACACAAAGTAGATACGGCACAACGCACCTCTCGTCAACGCAGCTCTGCCCAGTGACTTGACAAGAGCTTCGCTCGGTCCTCGAGTTCTCGCGCTGCTCCAAGTACGCTCATTATAGATTATCCAGCACTTCAGAGTCTGATAATGTGTGTTTACAGGAAATTCAACGGGGCTTATTAGCCGTCTTGCAGTCATTGTATCGCATGGCTGCACAGACCCGCTGCTGAGTCACATGCTGTGATGTTCATTGGTCTGTTGTGTTATCTCTTTATTTCCGTACATCATGCTGAACTTTGACCCCAGTCTTTACGAAGACGGACCAAGAGAGTGATATTTACAGACGGTTAAATAACTCCTTAAGTGCATTTCCTCTTTGCTTTTCCCTTCCCTTCACTACACTGATATTTTCTCCTTTCAGACATGCGCCTCTTTGCATTAATGTTACATGTCGGTCTTGTGTCTCCAAGTAACACAGCGCAAAGCTGAATTGAATGCTGTCAGGTTTAACTTCCACTAAGAGCTCTGTAGTAATTGTATCAATCAGTTGTCATCGTCTTTACAAAAATATAGAAATCAGTTTAATAAGCTGACTCTGGATGAGCCAACCTTTAAAGTCGTGCGTGGCAAAAAAACTCAAAATGATCAGACTGGCTGTGTCCCTCTTTTTATATATTTAATTTTTATCTGTGGAAACTGCATGAAATAAGCTGATAAAATGCTTTGTGAGTAAATAGAAATGATGTGAGAGTTCCAGCTTAACAACATGCAGCATGATTACCCATCTGAGACATTATTAAAGTGAAAAATGAAAAGTGGGGAAAGCTCTGCGCCCACAGTGGTCTTTCATTAATTATTCATTTCCCAATGGCTTTAAAAACCTTGACGTTTCTTTACAACCTCAGCAGCGGTGCACCTTCCTCTGGCGCACCAGGTGGCAAATATAGCATGACCGACGCGTGAGTTAAAAGGGCTTCAGCAATAAGCTCTTCCCTGTTTTCCTGTAGGGTTTTCTACAAGGTGAAGAGCCGCAGCGCCCACATGAAGAGCCACGCCGAGCAGGAGAAGAAGGCCGCAGCGCTGCGGCAGAAAGAGGCCGATGAGCGAGCGGCGGCGAAGGCGGCAGCCGAGGCCGCCGCGGTCCTCGCCGCGCGGCAGCTGAACGGGACGAGACAAACGGGCGGGGACAGCACCAACGACGACTTGTCGGCCGGGGACGACGACGAAGACGATGAGGACTGGCAGTGAGAGAAAAAGGGCCGCGCACACTGACTGCACTGTGCAGCGTGGCTTCACTCTCTGGGACGGGAGGAGGGATATTTAAAAGGAGAAGAAGAATCCCTCCTGTGAACTTTGTGAATATCTTTGTGGAACAAGAAGACTTCCGTTGCTTGGCACATTCAGGGACAGATTTACTCCTGTGTATGTGTGTTAGTGAATGCGTTGACTGAG